TCACAGGGAGAAATGGCTAACTGGGAGGCCAACTGCTCCTACTAAATCTAGGCATGGGTGCCAGTTTTCAATGCCAAGCACAGTACCAATTACAGATTGTGATAGTTAAGGTTTATTGTGCCAACCTGGGCGATATACACATGTGGGATTAATTGAAGGGCAGAGAGATAAATGGCTCAGTAAGCCTCACCTTTTATGTTGTCTGGTCTCTTGTTCTCTGATGGTCAGACCAGTGTGTGGCTGCCTTCGCTAGGTCTTTGCCTCAGCTGGCAAGGTTTACTTCCTGTGAGACATCCCTGGGGAGAAGCCACATGGACCTACCCTGATACAGTCCTGGGTGCTGGAGAAGCCATGTGGAGACCCCTACCAATGCTAAGATGGTTACACAATCATTGATTTGGCTTTCTTTCTGAATTTGGTCTTATTGTGTGTGTTTTGTGAGTTTGAGGAGGACTTTGTAGATCGGTGTCTGGCATATGGGCTAATGTCATACTTTTGGACTGGACTGGGTTGGGATGCTTTCTTAATGTAGTTACTTTTTATATAAAACTCTCTCATATATATGAGTTTCTATGGATTTGTTTCCCTAGTCTACCCAGACTAACTCAAGATTATTTGTACAAGTGTACCACACTTTAAGAAAAAACAATATGTAAACATTTAAATTTTCTTAGTAGATAAAACAGGTCTGGTTATTTGCTTTGCAAAATGCACATAAAATTCAGAGTTGTCATTTCTAGCATTTTAGGGAATAAGGGCCCATTTTTTTCATAGTGCCCTGAACCCCTAGATGATAGATTATAGAAACCATCATGGAAAAAACCTGTTTGAATGTTATGTTTTCAATTTTTTATTTTATTAATTGCAACAGGATCTACTAATATTCAAAATAGTTTATATAAATTGTAACATTCCTGCACCCCCCCTTACCTGTTCCTCTTCCCACACGTTGCCAGGAGCCTGTGCCTTTAAATCTTCCTTCCGACTGAGTGCCCTGAACTAGAACTTCTCTCCCACTGACATAATCTGTTCCCCAGGGCTCAGTTCTCAAAGAAGCTGAGCCTACTATGGAGGATATGGCAAATGGCAGGGTCATGAGATAAAGTGTAAATAAGAACATTAACGATAGTTATTGCTGTCTTATCACTCATTCCACAAATACAATCAATACCTACTGTGTTCTTGGCTGATTTATTCTATAGGTGTTGAGGCAGTAAAGAAGTAGGAGACCTTAGAATTCAGTCCTGATGAGATTTGAGCCACTTTCTTCCTCTCGTCCTCTGCTTTGCTTGGCTATTTCCTTTGCCTGAAATATCTTTCGGTCCTTCTCTCATCAGCTATTGTGGCCTTTGTTAGGTACCACTGAGGAAGTTTCGACCTATTGCGACTCTATGCACAACAGAAAAACACAATACAATCTTGCGCCACCCTCACTACTGTCCCTAGGCCTAAGCCTATTGTTGCAACCACTGTGTCTGTCCATCTTGAGGGCCTTCCTGTTTTTCGCTGCCCCTCCACTTTACCAAGCATGATGTCCTTCTCTGAGGACTGGTCTCCCCTGACAACATGTCCAAAGTAAGACGTTGTCTTGCCATCCTTGCCTCTAAGGAACAGGTGGGCCTTACTTCTTCTAAGACAGATTTATTTGTCCTTTTAGCAGTCCGTGGTACTTTTGATATTCTTCTCAAACACCACAATTCAAACTCATTAATTCTTTGATCTTCCTATTCAATGTCCAACTTTCACATACATATGAGTCCATTGAAAATACCATGGCTTGGGTTAGGTACACTGTGTTAGGCTGAGTTGACTACAGAGTCAATATATGCTTAAGAAAGAGCTTTAGAACAAGAAGTAATTATGGATCTACAAAATATCCCAACCCAGTCCAACACAAGTCCATAAGTCTGATAAGTCCATAAGTCCCTCTTCAGACTCACACAGTCACATGCAATGATGTGTGAGTGATACAGGAGTATCACTGCATGGTGGGAGCAGTCTTGTGGATCCAATGGTGGTAGATGCATCTCCAGGGCTGTGGTGGATCTCAGAGTGGCTCACCAGCAGGAAGGTGAAGGCATAGAGAGAAGAGAGGGTCCCAGAACCCTCCTTTTGAGAGGGTTATGATTCCCACAAGGAATCACCATTAGGCTGTGACCTGATTGACAGTTGAATACCACCCCTAGACTTTTGTATATCTTCAAGTTGACACGAAATTGTATAATTACCACATGAACCTTAGTCCTCAAAGAAATATCCTTACTTTTAATACTCTAAGAAGTATTCTCTGTGGGGCCAGTGGTGAGGATTTTGGTCTTCTTTACATTGAGTTGTAATTCATACTAAAGGCTGCAATCCTTATTCTTCATCAAGAAGTGCTTCAAGTCCTCCTCACAGTCAGCAATCAAGGTTGTATCATCTGCATATCATAGGTTGTTATCAAATCTTCCTCCAATTCTGATGCCATTTTCCTCTTCCTATAAGCCAGCTTGATGATTTGCTCAGCATACAGATTGAATAAATATGGTGAAGGGAGACAACTCCGATGCACAGTTTTCCTGATTTTCAATCATGCAGTATCCCCTTGTTTTGTTTGCACAATGGTGTCTTGATCCATGTACAGGTTTCCCTTAAGCACAATGAAATGTTCTGGAATTCCCATTCTTCTCAAGGTTATCCATAGTTTGTTATGATCCACACTGTCAAATGTTTTTGCATCAGTCAATAAAACACAAGTATACATCTTTCTGCTATTCTCTGTTTACAGCTAAAATCCATCTAACACCAGCAATGATACCCCTTGTTCCACGTCCTTTTTTGAATTCTGCCTGAATTTCTGGAAACGTCCTATCAGGGTACTGCTGAAGGATCTTCAGCAAAATTTTACTTTCATGTGATACCAGTGATATCGTTCTATAATTTGAGCATTCTGTTGGATCATCTTTCTTCGGAATGGGCACAAATATGGTTCTCTTCCAGTCAGTTGGCCAAGTCGCTGTCTTCCAAATTTCCTGGCATAGAGAAGTAAGAGCTTCCAGTGCTCCTTTAGCCTCCTGAAACATTTCAATTGGTACTCAATCAATCCCTGGTGCCTTGTTTTTGGCAAATGTATTCAGTACAGCTTGAACTTTTTACTTCAGCACCATTGGTTCTTTTGCAATGGTGGAATATGGGCTAGTTCTTTTTGGTACAATAACTCTCTGCATTGTTTCCATCTTTTCTTGATGCTTCCTACATCATCATATAGTTTGTTTATAGGATCTTTCAGGATTGCAATTTAATTCTTCAATTTTTTAATTCAGTTCTTTCAGTTTCAGATATACGGAATGTGTTATTCTCTTTTGGCTTTCTAATTCTAGGTATTTGTACATTTCATTATAATATTTGGCTTTGTCAAAATTTCAATAGAAATTTTCTATTCAGAGCCTCAGCTTCATCCTTTCTTCCATTTGCTTTCCCTACTCTATAATTAAGTTTCAGAGTATCTTCTGACATCCACTTTGATCTTTTCTTTCTTTCCTGTCTTTTTTAATGACCTATTGCTTTATTTATGGACAATGTTCTTGATATCCTCTCACAGCTTATCAAGACTTCTGTCCTTAGTGTTCAATGATCCAAATATGTACTTGAGATGTTCTCAAAATTCAGGTAGGATAGATAGACTCAGGGTTGTATTTTGGCTCTCCTGAACTTGCTTTCATTTTCTTCAGCTATATACTGAACCTACATATGAGCAATTGATGGTTTGGTTCTCAAAGCATTTCCTCTCCACTTAAGCCCCCGGCATTAGGGCCTCATTTTTCCCCTCCCACTCTGCTCCCCGCTCCCTTATGAGCCCTTGATAATTTATACATTGTTATTTTGTCATATCTTGCCCTGTCCAACGTCTCCCTTCACCCTCTTTTCTGTTGTCCATCCCCCAGGGAGGAGGTCACATATAGTTCCTTGTAATCGGTTCCCTCTTTCCAACCCACTCTCCCTCT